TATTTACAGTGAGGTATAGGGTTAGGTTCTACATAAGTGAAAAATAAGCTAATAATTTTGTTTATTAATACAATATAATACAAAATACATATAAATTTTTAATTTTTAAAATGTATTTTATCATAAAATAAAGTAAAATGTTTTTATTTAAAAATTTTAGTTTCGAATTTCTTAAATTTTTCGGAAAAAAGTATCCATCTTTAATTGTTTACATTTTTGATTTCTTTCATTAAGAATTTCGGAATATGGTCGAATATGATGCTCCTTTTTACATTTGCACTTCGCTCCCAACATTGTCTAACTCACAAACTTCATCCATCAAACTTTCCTTAGTTGAAAGGATACGTTAACCCGACGTAGAGCTACAGACGAGCGAAGACACTGTTTAGTCATCCACTGGTCGCCATAGCGCGTATATAAGGTCAGTTTGAGCGGGAAAATTCAAGGTGGCTAAGGAGAGATAAATATCGTCTGGCCAACGTGAAGTAGATTTGTCTTACTAACGATAATTTGTGATCGCTGGAAGTGCTATTGTGTCGTAAAGTGTTTTCTTGAATGAATTGATATGGGATACATTCATTGGCGCTATGGATTCGGACTATTAAGTTTAACATCTTGACTCGTGGGTACTGTACCTAAACATTTAGTATTTTAATATTAATTTAATGCAAATGTATACATACCCAATAATATTAAACAGAAAAAATAAATATATTTAATAAAAATCTTTATTTTAACGAATGTACAATGTCGCGGCTCGGTAAATACGTCAACACTGAAATGAAAATCAGTCTAGCATAGGGAAAATCGGGGAATTACACCTCAAAACGGCGAATTACGCAGCGGCGTAAATTGAACCGGCGTAAACCGAGGGCTACCTGTATTTTAAAAAACTTAATAGCAATTTTATGCCTGAAACTTTTATATCTTTCTATCTGCTATTATGTTATTTTACAAGGGATTTTATATTGGACATTTGTCTGCTATTGTTGCCTGTTCAACCTGGACAATTTACAACTTCTTAATCAAAACCATATTTGCAGAAACTTTGATTACCTTCTATTTGCAATACTGTTTCTGTGCATGAAACTTGGATATTTTTAGTTAATCATACTTTTTAGAAGATTTTTACAAGTCACAATATTGCACATGTCAAAACACAAAATATTATTTCTAATTCTAAAAGAAACAGTTCTCTTATTTTCATATTTCAACAGGAAATTTTGGAAAGCTTTACTGAATGATTATTAGTTGTGAACAAATTTTTTTTTAATAATTACTTCATTTAAAATTTTAATNTAAATGTATAACACTTACCCCATGGGGGGAATTTTTCGAAAAATCCCTTTTTAGTGTACATTCTGTTGACATACCTATTAAAACGCAATCAAAAATGCAAAAAACTGCATCTAAAATAGTATAATAGAAGCCAAGTTCTTCACGGTAAGCCTTAATCCTAACCATCTCCCCCTGGTGGGGGAATTTCGACATGTATATTATATAAAAACATGTGCGTATTCGAATGCAACATTGTGTCAAAATTTCAAAGGAATTGGTAGGAACAAACAAACATTACATTTTTATTTATATACAGTAGATAGATAGATGATCTACTTTACTTCATATGAACCTCACAGAAAAGCAAACTTAGGTTGTCATACTCGCAGAGTTAGTGCCATCTGTTGGACATAAAAGCTTTAATCCTAGATGATATCTTTTAATTTATATGAATGTTTAACGGAATAATATACAGCCTATGTCCACCCCAAAGTTCCATTCTAAATATTGGTGAAAGAATTTTTGAAATTGGATGAGTAGTTTCGGAGATTACCCGCTACATCCAAACTTATTTACAAACATTACCTTTTTATAATATTAGTATAGATATGTATAAGAGAGAGATTTCCCTGTAACAGGGAAATCTCTCTCTTTTGCTAATAAATTTGAATTGAATAATTATTAATTTTAATACGAGATGGCGTCTAACGCCTCATTCTAGTGTCAAATTCATTTCTAATTTATGATCATTATATACAAATTTAGCCTGATCATTTATGGCAGTTGTGGGTGTATACTATTTTTAATGTAAATATTTTTCTGATCTGTATCATTTTTTTAGCATTTAAATATTTTTGTTAGTAACTGTAGTTTACGTTTTGTTATATCTTACATATTTTTTAACATTTTACATAAACTTTGCATAATTGGACCAGAGTATTCTAGTGCTGATATGTATCAATTAACCAGAAGCTACTGTAATTGTAATTCTATAATCCAAAAAGATTCAACTATTTTTAGTTAATGATTACAAAATTTGATTACAAGGTCCTGAAGAAGTAGCCAAGGCACTTTTTAATATAATTTTTATTGGTTTTAGCACCATTATTTTAGTGTATTGCTATACAAATTTCATAGTATATTTAACAAGTTTAGATATGCACAAAGTGATCCATAAGACCTTATTGAAGGTGTATTTTATAATATAATGTATACAAATTTTACAATATGCATTATTAAATTTATAATATAAACAGATTATTCATTGCATAATATTACATTTTTTCCTATACATAGGATTTTTTTTTCTAATATTCATCTATGTAAAAAAAATTATGATGATATTTAGTTAATCTCTTATAATAAATTAAATTTGTTTTCATATTAGCTTTGTTTTTATAGTTGAAAAGACTTATTGATGAAAAAGATGAAGTAAGAGCTGCGGCATTAGAAAAGCAGATCTTGGAAGTATGGGACAGAGTTTATCATCTTTGGGTTTCTCGAAATGTTAGTGGACCAGTATTTGACACTCATCATCAAAGTGCATCATTTGATAATCTCATTGATGGTTTAAAAACTTTAAATATTGGATTGTTGGTTAATTTCGTTAAAGAAAATATTGGAACATTTATGAAGGTATGTTTCTTTAATAAACAGGTAATATAAAATTTACAAATGCTAAATTAATAAATAGTTTGACATATTAGGAGCTTTAATTTTCTGTTTTGGAAAAATTTTAAATTAAAATTTTTTTGTCTCAAATTAGAAATTATTAAAAGTATTGCAGCATTTAAGACTTTTGATTGTTTTTAATTCTGGAGCATGAATCATAAATTAATATTATTTTGCCATATCATTGGTAAGAAATTATTTAAACATATTATGAAAATGATCTACAAAGCCATGTTCTATGCAGGACACAATATATACTGATTAAACACAATCTGAAACATACTTAACTAGTGATTAAAACAAGAGGAATAATTATTGATTAAAATTAAATGGATTGGCTAAAATTCAAAACAAACAAATATTAATTAATAGATATTTTTGGTTTGAAAATTGGTTCTGCTGTTCATATTTGTACTTGAAAATAATTTAACATAAAAATTTAGTTTAAGATTAAAATTGAACACCAAGTCTATCAGAGAACAGTCATAATTTATTCACTTTCACTGCTTCAGAATACAGGTTTTGACAACTGATCTTTCTTTTTAATTAAGCTGCTTTGATGACCAAATTTTTAAAAATTTCCTTTAAAAACAATGAAAAAATATCTAACTAAAAATGTAAATACTTAAATCAGAGCACTTTTTTTAAACACAATTTTTAAAGGAAATTTAAAAAATATTTGCAATCAAACCAGCCTGCAATGAATTGTAAGCCATCAAAAGCTGTATTTTAGAACAGTAAAAGTGAATAAGTGGTGACTTGACCATTCTTAGACAGACTTAATCTTTAATTTTAATTATCATCTGGTAAAAATTTTTTAACGATAAAAGTCAGCATCAATTTATCAATGAGTGAAGTATATATACATCATAAAAATCAACAAAACAATATTTTTTAAAATAAATACTTTTTTTTTTATTTGTAATAAGTGTTATTTTAAATAGGGCTGGATGGTTGAGGCAGCAAAGGTGTCAGCCTAAAGATCAAATAGTTTAAGAATATTCTTGAAGTATTTGATCTGAGATAACACATTGATGTTTCCAAAAAATATTTAATCTAGAATAAAATTCATGACTTCTTAAAAAGCTTTAGTAATGTTATGGGTTTTTTTTTTCTTTCTTCTTATATGTGGAGACATCTGATTCAAAGATGATGAGAAATATGTATACTAATCTCAAAAGAATCATTAAAAAGTATTTAAGAGACTACAATTAGAGTAAACACCAAATGGCTAATAACTTTATTATTTATTCTAATCTTACCTTATTGGAACTTTAATTATACAGTGGTGCCTCATATAACGTACTTATTCCGTTCCAGGTGAACATCCGTTAAGTGAAAAGTCTGTTATTCAAAGCACATTTTCCCATAGAAATACATGTTAAAACATAATTCGTTCTGCAGCATAAAATAACTGTACTATACCATAAAAAAAATGAAAATGGAGCAGTCACCAATTATTCCGGGTAGTCAGATGTTCTGAAGAGGAGGTGGAGGAACACTTTATTCACACATTCATACAGATACAGACTTTTTTACACATTGCAGCAGGTCTCTTTTAATTGTTTTTTAATCTGAGTAAGAGTCAGGAGAGGCTACTGGGGCTTGCAGGGTCAACTCCTCTTGTTCCATCCTTTGTTTTTTGGCAGCTTGCTTCTTGAAAAGCATGTCCAAGGTGGTCTGTTTCTCTCTCTTCTTCAACACCTGTCGGAAATGACGGGCAAGAGTGTCATTGTAGAGATCATTAATCCTGTTGGCCTCAACTGTGTTTGGATAATGAGTGTTGGTAAACTCCTGAACCTCTCTCCGTTTGACAAGGAAGTTTTTGTCAACTTTCACTCCTTCTGATGATGTCTTGCTTTGTTTCAATTGAAATCACCTTTCTGCTTTTTAGAAGCCATGATTTGCACAACACTTGAATAAATGTAAATACCCTGCACTGAGGTGAGGTACTGTACGTAATAAGGGAGCAAGCCGAATCTCAACAGGAGCTCTGTACTTCAGATATACTAATAATATATTGTAATGATACTAATATATTATAAAAATAGCAGATTGTCATTGGCAACGGCAAAAAAGTGGAAACATCATTCGTACTTGTTTGTAGAAAGTCCATTGTTCGCCTAACATAACTGCCGAACGAAAAGTCCATTGTTTGCAGCCAGTCCGTTCTTCGAGTCACGTAACGGCCAAACAGATAGTCCGTTGTTCGCAACGTCCGTTATTCGAGGCGTACGTTATACGAGGCACCACTGTATATAATTTATATAACTTTCTGTAAAATCATTAACTAAAAATTTCTCTGATGAAATTTAATATTACAATCAAATTGCATAGAACATACAAATGAATTTAAGGATTTATTGATAGGTATTTAATCCAGCCCATAGTCATAGTATATCTTAGATGTATTATTCAAAGATAATTAAATGTAATATTCTTTATTATATTAAAAAATTTTATTTTTTACATTTCTTTGTGCAAATATGTTTTGTTTTTTATATTGATCAATATACAGGTAGCCCTCGGTTTACGCCGCAGTTCCGTTCCTACAAAAGCCGGCGCAAATCGAATCGGCATAAAACGAACCCGTATTTACAGTGAAGTATAGGGTTAGGTTCTACATAAGTGAAAAATAAGCTAATAATTTTGTTTATTAATACAATATAATACAAAATACATATAAATTTT